GTGCTTTGTCATTGATATATTGCTATCCGGTCAGGCGATGTCGAGCTCGAAATATTTAGCGTACTAGAAGCGCCAGTTACTGCCGAATTTCGACCGTTTTTAAGGCCCTTGGAGGGGTTTTCTAACTTAGAACGTCGTTTAAAATTACTTACCGGAAAATTTCCTGCTTTGGAACTAAGACATGACTACTACAATTTTTAACATTTTTAAGGCCTTTGCCAGGACTTGGAGTTGACCCCATACATTTCAGTTTGTCTATAAATTTGGATTATTTTATACCTATGTATGTATCGATAATTCGATGAATTTTAATAACTCTTAAATCCGATGCCTCAACAAAATTCGATAGCCCGTACACTTTGGATACCTCTACAAATTTCGATAGCTCGAAAGCCATCGACAAACTTTGATAACTCCTTACACTCTGGTGAACGATAAACTCGTTAAGCATATCGAATGCGGGATATATTTTGAAAATTCCAAGAGGGTCGAATCGATAATTCCAATAATTTCAGTTAATCAATAAATATCGAAAACTCGATAAGATAAAAAGATCGGTGCATTACGATAACTCGATAAATTTCGTTAACTCTATAAATAAAAATAATTCAATAAATATCGATAACTTTCGATTTATGGGATATAAATTTTTAAAGCTCGATGACTATCCGTAAATTTCGAAAACTAATTTACTGTGTCTATAAATTTCGACAACTCAATATACAACGTTGCGATAACTCAATAACATGCAAAACTTGATAAATTTCAATAACTATAAACTTCCACGATTCAACAAATTTCGGTAACTTGATAACTTTCGATAACTAAAATTTTTCATGACTGAATTTACTATATTCCTATCGAAAAATTTCAATACATTTTCTTACCCTTCCGTGACCCTAAAGGCCAAATTCACAGTGCGTAGTTAACCACTGATAAGAGTTTAACTATTGATTTTCATATTCACAACGCTCAGTTAATAAAAGTTTAAACCAGCTTGTCCCTATAGCTAAACTCTTGTGAAATTATTTTTTTTTTTGTGGAACGAATTTAAAATTTGAATAGAAAAGTAGTGATTATTAGAATTGGTATATTTTCAAGCGATACGAATTTTCATAGTTAACTCTGTGAAACTGAATATAAATTCATAGTTAAACTCTTATTGGTTGTTAAGTTAACAATGGTTTAACTAAGCACTGCGAATTCGACCCAAACTCTTATGCATTTCTCATTGTCTCCATTTTCATCTTTATCTTCACTTTTGCCTTCTCTTTTTTGTCATCGTTATTATTTATTTCTTCATCACATTTATCTTTTTTTTTTAAGTTTAATTTCAAATATGAAGTGAAACATGATACATACCATGATACAGGCTGCATTTCTTTATTCATTCTGAACGTTTGGAATAAACTTTT